AGAAGGGCCGTTGATAGTGTGTCAGCAGAGCTCCTACTTTCCGCATGGGGAGGCCAAGTTTCCTCGGGGACAGAGGCCAGCTGGGGCCACAGCAGGGCAGCTGTCAAAAGTTCATTCTTGTCCTGACCCTGGCAGCCCAGCTCCTACCGGTGCTTCCTTAGAGCAGCGCATGCCCCAGCTTGCTGCTGCCCTCTGAGAGGGGGCTCTGGGCTCAAACGTGCGGTGGGGGGTGTTGAGGTGCCTGCCTGGCTAATGCCCGCGCCCCCTTGCCATGTGTTCTTACCAGCACCCAGCCCGCTGCGTCCACGGCTGGAGCCCTGGCCCCCAAATCCTCCGCACTTCCCAGCAGCCGAGGCGAGTATGTGGTGGCCAAGCTGGATGACCTCATCAACTGGGCCCGCCGGGTGAGCCCCTGACTCCTCCCGCGTCATTCAGGCCTCCTGCCGCATGCTCACACATGCTCACACACGTGCACACCTGCCCCTGTCCGCTGCCGGCCCTGATGTCCTCTCAGTGCCCGTGCCATGCTTCCTGGTCTCTCCCTCCACCCCCAGGGAAGATGCCCTGCCTCCCCTCTGCGGATCTCCTGTTTCTGTTTATTCTCTTTTGATGCAGAAGTGATTTTAACTGAGAAAGTAGTATGTACCTAGAACAGTGGCTCCTTCCCGGGAAAAACCCGAAGACACTCCCCCGCCCCCAGTACTCACTGGGGACAGTCTGCGTGTTGTGTGCATGTCTGTCTCCCCCTGATTCACAGGCCAGTGGCTCCTCTTGGTGTGCTGGGGGTGCCCAGGAGTAGGCCGTTCCTGTGTGTCTCTGTAACTGATGGGGCCATGGCGAGCGTCCCGCCGGGTGTCTCCTGCAGTGTTGGTCCTAACTGCACATCTGAGAGGCTGTCAGGGTCAGCCCCCTGTGTGGCCCAAGCCCGGTGGCCCGCATTAGCACAAAGTGGGGCAGGCAGGACCCATTCCAGGTCCCCGACTAGGCGGAGAGAGAGAGCAGAGAAGGCTCTGGCAGAGGAGTTCAGCAGGAGAAAGGAGCCACTGGATGGATGGAGGCAATGGTCAGAGGGCAGCCAGAGGCATCCAGGAGGCCTTCCTGGAGGAATAGGCATTGGGAGTCCCTGGACATTAGGAAGTGTTGGAAAGGAGCCCCTTGCAGGGGCTGAGCCCCAGGGTCTAAACCTGTACCACATGTGGCTTTCCAGGCACTGGGAGCAGCACGTGCCTGTGTCTGAAGGATGGGATCTAGGACGTGCTGGGTTATGTGAACTATGTCAGTAAAGCTCATTTCACCTGGGCTTGGGTTCTTTACTTTTTTGGTAACGTGGCTGCTGGGAAGTGTTGACTCACAGGTGTAGCTTGCTTTACCTTCCTGTTGAGCACACTGGGCCGTGACACCATCGGAGGGCCCTTCGGGGCCTGGAGGTGGCTTGGCTGCCGTGGGGAGGCCTGACTGATGGGCTTTGAGCTGGGGCGGATACCGTCCCCCCGGGCTGAGCACCCTGCCCCCGCAGAGCTCCCTGTGGCCCATGACCTTTGGCCTGGCGTGTTGTGCTGTGGAAATGATGCACATGGCCGCGCCCCGCTATGACATGGACCGCTTTGGCGTGGTCTTCCGCGCCAGCCCGCGCCAGTCCGACGTGATGATCGTGGCCGGCACGCTCACCAACAAGATGGCCCCGGCGCTCCGCAAGGTAGGCCCGGCCCCGAGGCCCGCCACCCACCCCCAGCCTCGAGCCGCACCCAGACCCCGCCGTCTCTTCCAGGTGTATGACCAGATGCCAGAGCCGCGCTATGTTGTGTCCATGGGGAGGTGAGTGCCCGCGACACGCTGGCGCGCCTCCTGCCCATCTCCGCTCCCTCTGCCGCGGTCACAGGGGGCATCTGTGCCCTCAGGACACCCTGCGGCCCCTCCCCAGGGCGGCACCCCCCCCCAGGGCACCCCCCCGTGCCACTCAGAGTCGCCCCTGTTCTGTCCCTGTTCCTGCTTCATGGATGTAAGTGGTGCCCTGCTCTGTGGGCTGTCTGCGCACTCCTCGCCCTCCCTCCTGGTGCCCAGGCCCTTCCCCACGCCACCAGCAGCTGCTTCCTCACCTCACTGCTCTGAGGTAGAACTCGGGCCACAGAGTCCACCCTGTTCAAGTGCGCAGTTCCGTGATGGTCCATGCAGTCACGGTGCTGTCAGCTGTAGCCCGTAGTCCCAGAACATTCCATCATCCTCCAAGAAAACCCCGCCCCCATCAGCTGTCGCCCTCCCCCCCAGCCCCTGCCCCCGCGAGCCCCCTTCCCATCCGCGGATGAGCCTGTTCTGGGCGTGTCACCCACGTGGACTCACACCCCGTGTGGCCTTCTGTGTCTGGCTCCCTCCCTGAGCATCTGGGTGTCGTGGGCTCGGGGCCCGTCCATTTGCTTCTGCTCTCCCTGATCCCGCAGAAGCCCTCGCTCTCTTTTCTGGGACTCCACATCCCATTCCTGCCCATTCCTGGCACCTGTTTGCACCTGAAGGCAGGTGTGCGTTGGGGGCAGGGCTGGGGGTGCCCAGCGTGGCCCTCACCATGCTCCCCCCGCCAGCTGTGCCAATGGAGGAGGTTACTACCACTACTCGTACTCTGTCGTGAGGGGCTGTGACCGCATCGTGCCCGTGGACATCTACGTCCCAGGTGAGCCCACCCCTCCCATGTCACAGGCCCCCGCACCCCCACAGAGGCGGTGGGCTCCCCCCCTTCTCAGGATGAACAGATGTAGGTCCAAGCAGAAGAGTGAAGCCCCAGCCTCCTCCTCCCTTGTCCCCTGAAGGTCTCCCCTGCTGAAGAGTCTTGGGTTTTTTCCAGACGTGGGCTCAGGCTGGTGCCGAAGGCTTAGCCTGAGCTGGGTGGGACCGCGGATCCTCGGCTTTCTTTAAAGCACACTTCACATGGTTCCACCTAATAGACACAAAACCCACGGAACACAGTTAAAAAACAGAGACTGGTTCTTGGAGACCAGGACCGGTGTGCACGGGGCCTCCCTTGGACCCCAGATCACCAGGGTGGTCAGATTGTGCAAATAAAAATGCAGGGTCCCCAGTTACTTCTGTCCGGAAAGCAAGGAATGTTTGCGACACGTTCATACTGGAGAAGTACTGATTGTCTGTCTGAAGCCCGTGTTCGGCTGGCCACCCTTGGGCCCCAGGGCCTCTGCCCCCACTGTGTCAGAGGTCAGGGGTCAGCGGGTGGTGCTTAGCCTGCAGATGAAGGCCCCATGTTCTTGGGCTCTCAGTGCCCCATGGAAAGCCCAACCCGAGGCCCGGAGAGCAGAGGACACTCAAGGCCCTGATTCCAGGTTGCCCAGGAAAGTTCAGGTCACGTTCTGGTGCCCCTCAAAAGGACATTGGATGGTGGTGATTTGTTTAGCGTTCTACAGATATTTCCTGAGGGCCTTAGACACCGCCGGGCCACAGGGGCGACCCTCATTGTGGGGGGCCAGGGCCCGTCTGGTGGGGGAGGGCACCTGGGACTCCACCCTGCAGAGTGAGACCAGGCCCTGCTCAGCTGCCTTGTGGGGTATGTGACCGGGGGCAGATCTCCGCAGGGCCTCGGCCCCTCCATCAGGCGGTACTGGGACAGTCCTGGGACAGTACTGCTGGATGCTGGGCCCAGGGCCGGACGTGCTCGTGGCTGTCCTTCCAGGCCCCTCGGGTCCTGGGCAGGTCTCCTGGGTGGTGACCTGTCTGTCTGCTTCTTCCGGCAGGGTGGTGGGGACGGGGACTGTAGGGGAGCATTTCTCCAGGGCTTCCCCTCCCGTGGGCCCTGTGGGCCTCCCTGCCCAGCCTGGCTGCTCTGCCCCCTCAACTCCCCCCTCCCTCCCTGCTTTCCAAGGGCCCACCGCCACAAGGGCCACCCGCACTTGTCCTCTGGAGGTCCTGAGCCAGGTCATCGGGGGTAGCGGACAGGGCAGCTGGGCCCAGGATGGGCAGCCCCGGCTTGACTGCCGGGGTCAGGAACTCGGCGGCTCCTTTCCTGTGATGGGCCAAACCCCCAGCCTGGGCAGTACAAGCTAGAGGTGCTGGAGAGGGGCCCCAGGTCAGACCGCTCCGCAGACGTGGCGCTGCTGCCCCCTCCTCGTCCCAGGGCCCCGTCTGGCCTCCAGCTGCTGCGCCTAGCTGCGCCCTTTGACCATCCTGATCAAGGCACCCTTTGCCAAGTGGCAGGGGGTCAGTCCGTGGCCCCAGCAGGGAGGACAGGCACAGGTCCCAGAATCTAGTCACTGGTCTGGGGGGGCCTTGGCTGCCCTCCCAGGGTCCAGGAGGAGCTCCGCCCCCTCCCTGCCAGCAGGGAAACTGAAGCACAGTCCCACCCACAGGCTGCCCACCCACAGCTGAGGCCCTGCTGTACGGCATCCTGCAGCTGCAGAAGAAGATCAAGCGGGAGAAGAAGCTGAGGATCTGGTACCGCAGGTAGTGCCGGCCCCCTCCGGCCCCTGCAGCACCCCTCAGGATGGTCAATAAACTGATAGACCCAGCTGGCCTCCCCCTCCCCCTCCCTGCGCGACCGGTGGGTAGTGGGGCTCTGGGGGTGTGAGAGGTCAGTGCTGTCCTGGGCAGGCCCAGCCCTTTCTTTTGTGCACGGAGACACTGAGGCCCTGAAGGAGGGGAGTGGACGGGCCCAAGAGCCTGTGGTGAGAAGAGCAACACCATGTCTAGGGGTGAGGCGGGGGTCCTGGGGAGCACAGCTGGGTTTAAAGGCCTTGCTTTGTTTCAAGGCTCTCAGCCCGACCTGACCGGGTGGGACCAGAGACTCAGTGGCCATGTGGCCCTGACGAGCGCCACCCTCTCTGTACCCCAGCAGCCAGCTGAGGGAGGAGGTTGACGAGTTGTCTGCTACGATCCACTGGCCCTGTGGGTCTGCTGTGGGCACAGGGCGGATCGCATGTGGGGTCACGTGCCAGCTCAGAGGTAGTGGTGCGGAGTGGCCCCCTGTCCCCCCGGGGGCCCATTTAACAGATAGTGTTTTGTTTTTTTTACTTTTTGGAGGGGCAGAAGAAGTCAGTGAAAGCACACGGTCCTGCTGATTGGGCAAGCCCAGGGTCAGCATTTATTTTGTCTTCAAGGATGCGGACAGGGAGGTCATGGTATTCCCATTGCAGGGACAGTTGGGGAAGTTTACCCTCTGTCCCCCCGTGGGTGTGGCCGGACTCGAACCCAGGGCTGAGAGCCCAGAGCCTGCACTCCCGGCTGCAGAGGCACTGAGTGGGGGCACAGGGACAGCAGTAGTTGAGCCAGAGGCCTGGGTGGGCTCAGTGCTTGGTGACCAGGGGCGTGATCATCCGCGGGAAGGCGTAGTAGCGGCACTCAGCAGGGGGGACCAGCTCCATCAACTCCATGCGGATGTTCTCCCGCCTGAAGCCCGCCTCCAGCAGGGCTGGCACCTGTGTCTCCTGGGGGAGGGGGGGAGAGCGCCAGGTCGCTTGCAGGGCCCTGGGGCCTCACGAGACACCCACAGCGCCCACCCTTCCTAGAATGGCATTCACAATTGCCAAGGCCCCTGGGAGCTGGACACGGCAGCCCGACTGCTGACTGAAAGAACCAGGAAGCCCGAGTTGGGGTGGGCATCCTCCAGGTGTCTAAACTCCGGTAGCAATGTCCTGACTCTCGCGGGGCACCAGTAGGCTGCCCACCGCACATCCAGCAGCAGGGACGGCATGCCTAAACCTATAGACCTGTTTGGTGGAGGAGGGCAGAGTGAGGCGGGATGCCTGGGTGCGGAGCCTGGACTGGATCCCTGTGTCCTGAGGGCACTGGGGAGCCACGGAAGGCCGTTGAGCTGAGAGACCTTACCTGACTTGTAAGTGGAGGCTCACAATCCACCAAGGAGACCAGCTCCTGAGGCCAGGGACCCTCCCCAGGTCACAGGCTACTCCTGCCTCCGCCCCAAAGTTGCTGCCTGGCTTGGGGCTGGGGCGTGGACCCACTGGGAGCTCCCGGGCTGCACACCTCGAACATGGTGGTGATGTCTGAGTACTTGGACTTCATCAGCTCCCCCCAGGACGTGAGGTTGCAGTAGGTGAGGATGCCTCCAGGCTTCAGCAGGCGAAAGGCATGGCCCTGGGCAGGGACAGTGGTCAGGACGGAGGTCTGGGGTATGGACAGAAGCCACTGCCCAGTGGGCCTCCCACCCCCCAGCAGGACGGAGAAACAGGAAGGAGAGGTGCTCCATGTGTGAATGGCAGCCACCTGCACTCACCCCTGGGGGTGACTGTCCCCCCAAGCAGGTCCTACCCTGATGAAGTTGAACTGGTGTGTGTGCCAGGTCTCCTCGGACAGCGGGTACGTGTCATACAGGACCCCTGCACAGGAAGTGGGGTGGGGGCTGGAGCTCAGCGGTGTGTGCACGTGGAGACGGGCCCTGCCCAGAGCTCATAGCATGCTGCCTCTTCCGGGGACAGCAGGGAAGCGTCCCCCACAGCTGTTCCTGCGGGGTCTGCCACGCCCCGCCCAGTGCAGCACTGCTGTGTGTTCCCTACAAGGTCCCTCTGCAAGCCAAGGACGGGGGCTGGTGGTGGAAACTCAGGCAGAGGCTCCCCCGCCCCCAGCTCCCAGCGCCCCCCTCACCATCAAAGTGGCCATCTGGCAGGGTAGGTGTTACGTCCTCCCACAGGCCTTTCAAGGGAACCACCTAGGGGCCCGGGAGAAAAGAGAAGGTTGAGGGTCCCAGGTGTCCAGGCTCTCCCCGCCTGCTGTAAGGGAGAGGGCAGAGGAGTTCCCAGGGGAGAAGACCACTTCCTCCATCTTGGTGGCTCCAGCCCCGCCCCCGGAGGGCAGGGCAGGGCAGGCAAAGGTGGGCACCTTGTGTGGCTGCCGCTGGGCCCAGTCCTGGAGCCTCTGGAAGACGCTGTCATTGCACTCAATGATCCAGTGCTCATCGATGGGGGCCTCCTGCACCTTGGAGGCCGCGATCGCCATGCCAAAGCCCACCTCCAGCACCCGGCCCCCTGGTCACACAAAGAACCCAGTATCACACGCCAGGCTGGGGCTGGGCAGCTGCCTGGAGGAGGGGGCGCAAGGGACAGGGCCTTTGCAGAGAGAAACGTTTCCACAAGGCCGGGAGGGCACAAGTGGGGCGGAGGCGGAGGGTGGTTTGGAACACAGTGGCCCTGGGCAGGAACGGCGTGGGCTCTGGCCAGGGACGTGTGGGCAGCCGATTTGAGGCCTGGCGCCGGTGGGGGGGTCAGACCCTGGACTTTGAGCCCTGGTGGTGCTTATCTCTTGAGTTGGTTACTTTTCTCTACCCTCCTTGCTACAATGAAACGGGGGGGTGGGGGGGGTGGGTTTGAGGCCTGGGGCCTGGAACACCTGGGAAGGAGGTGGGTTCCCACTGGCCCAAAGACAGGCGAGGGGGACACCCCAACTATGCAGGGACGCTGGGTACGCTCATTGGCCAGGTAGAAACTCGGCCGCCGGGAGGACCCCCGCCCCGCCCCTGGGGCACCCCGCAGGCTCTGACCTAGGCACAGGGCCACCCCTACAGCTGTTTCCCAGCCTCAGCTTTCCCGGAGCTATTCTTAGCCCGGGCGGGGCTTCCGGGGACTCCGGGGCAGGAACATTTCCCGCGTGTGCCTGGGCAGCACCCCCCCGCTCGGGCCGACACCACCTCCCCGGCCTCATGCGGGGACAGCGGCCGAGCTCCACGCGAGGTCATCGTCGGAGAGCCTGTCCCCATCTGCGGGGTGGGGGCCCGTTACCCCTGGATAGGAAGTTCCGATACTTAAGAGGCGCCTGCTGTGTGCAAGCCCCTGCCTGCAGCACCCACTTTTATTTCCCCGGTGCCCCCCCCGCTAGCCTCATTTTGCAGGCGGGAAAGCAGAGGCACGGGAGGCTCGGGTGCACCTCAGCTGGACAGCGGGCTGGACCCCGGATCTGAGCGACCTTCGGCCTCAGTTTACCCCTGCGCGCCCGGCTACCTTTGGAGGAGGCGGCGGCCGCCAACGCGTGCATGTAGGGGGTCTCCCAGCGCTCCATCACCGGCTTGCCGAGGATCTGCAGGTGCATGTCCGCCGCGTCGTAGGCCGCGGGCGCCGCCTGCCACGCGGGGCTGCAGTTCTCGCCGGGGGCGAAGATGGGGGGCGCGGCGGGGGCGCTCATGCTGCGGCTGTAACGCGCGCCGGGACTCGGCTCGCGACGCGCGGGCCTTGTCCCTGCGAGGCCTTCTGGGCCGGGGGGTGGGGCCGGGGGGTGGGGCCGGGGGCGGGGCTGGCCGGCAGGCCGGAGGGGCGGTCCCGGGAGCTGACTGCCCGGTGGACCCGGGGGCCTCTAGCGGCCGCCGCGCGGAAGGCGCCCTGTGCGGCCTATGCAGATGGCACTCGCTAAAGGTCACCCAATTTAAGCGATGCCCCGGAATGCCCTGCCTGAGACAGAAGGCAGGTTATATTTGTTAGCTATTGCTGTCTAACAAGTGACCCCAAAGGTGGCCACTTCAGACAACACACGTTTCTTATCCCTTGGCTGGGTCCTCTGTTTCACGCCCTCTCAGAATGCCACTGTCAGGAGGCCAGCCAGTTATGGGGGTGCCTTTGAGGGTTCCTCTAGGGAAGGATCTGCTTCCAAGCCCATTCACTGGCTGTTGGTGGCACCCAGTTCCTTTGGGACCGTTGGCGGGAGGGCCCTCCCCAACGTGACAGCACGCTTCATCAGAGCCAGCAAGAGAGTCTGCAATGTCAGAATTGTCCGAGACCTGATCACAGAAGCGACATCCCTTCACCGTGGCCAGGCACACGAGGGCAGGGATCTCACAGGGCCAGGAGGAGCAGGAAGCGGAGACGCTGGGGAACTCTCAGAGGTGGCTGCCCACACGGATCCCAGCAAAAGCAGTGAGGGGGCGGTCAGCGCAGAGCCTCCCCTGTGGTTTCAGTGTCCCCTGACATAAGGGACCTCCCAGCAGTCACCTACACGCAACTTGGACTGCATCCCAGAAAGTAGCCGTGGGCACAGTACCGTCTGGCTGGCAACGTAGCCAAACGGTTTCCGTTCCAGCTTCAGCTTCCTCTTCTCCCAAATGGACTAACCACTCTTGTTCCTGCTCCTGTTGGTGAATGAGTGACACGTGGTCCTTCCTTGTGTCCACTCTTTGTGAGAGGCCCGAGTGTGTGCTGTGACTGTCTGCACGTCACAGCCCCGAATCAGAGAGGGAAAGTGACTTGAGGGTGCACAGCAAGTCGCGGCAGAGAGGGTACTGGGAGGGATGTATCTGACTCCAGTCTTTTTTTTTTTTTTAAAGATTTTATTTATTTATTTGACAGAGACACAGTCAGACAGGGAACACAAGCAGGGGGGAGTGGGAGAGGGAGAAGCAGGCTCCCCGCCGAGCAGGGAGCCCGATGTGGCGCTCGATCCCAGGACCCTGGGATCATGACCTGAGCTAAAGGCAGACGCTTAACGACTGAGCCACCCAGGTGCCCCTCTGACTCCAGTCTTAAAGTACTGTGTATACGTATATAATATATATATACTTCTTTTTTTAAAATGTTTTATTTATTTATTTGAGAGAGAGAATGAGATAGAGTACATGAGAGGGAGGAGGGTCAGAGGGAGAAGCAGACTCCCCGCCGAGCAGGGAGCCCGATGTGGGAGTCAATCCCAGGACTCCAGGATCATGACCTGAGCCGAAGGCAGTCACCCAACCAACTGAGCCACCCAGGCACCCTAATATATATACTTCTGATTAGAACGGTGACACGTTTGAGCAAAACATTCAAATGTTGCCGACTTGTCATCAGCCTTCAGATCCCATCCCCCTGCTGTTGTTTTGGTACAGCTTAGAACGGTTTTTACGTTTTTAAATAGTTGGCGGGGGCGGGGGGAAGACTTTTACAACACGTAAAAATTATATGACATTCACATTTGTGCATGGGTAAATAAAGTTTTATTGGCATAGAGCCACCTCCATTTGTTAACATCAGCACTCTGGTGTATTCTGGCTATAAATAGTACAGGTGAGTCACGGCTATGAAGCCTTATGGCCAACAAAACCAAAAATATTTACTAGTTAGCTCTGTACAGATCTGTTGTAGTGCAGTGGGTCACGGGAAGTGACATTCATTCATTCATCAGACACATATGCAGTACCTTACTTTGGGGGTCCCATCCTGACTCCCCTGGAGCTCACAGCCTACTGGTGTGGGGGGATGAACAAGAATAAGTGATACGTGGGGCACCTGGCCAGCTCCGTCTATGGAGTGTGCAACTCTAGATCTCAGGGTCATGAGCTCGAGCCCCACGCTGGGTGTGGAGCCTACTCAAAATTTTTTTTTTAAGTTAAAAAAAAAAAAACACCACAGTAAGTGAATGGGTTAGGCCAAAAGGCGGAAACAATCCAAATGTCCATCAGTGTGTGAAGGATAAACACACGCTGGAACACGCTCCAGCCTTAAGAAAGAAGGGGCCCCGACACCTGCCACGATGTGGAGGGACCCCGAGGACACTGGGCTCAGTGACAGGAGCCAGACCCAGAAGGATACATCCCGCAGGACCCCACTCCCAGGAGGTCCCCAGAGGAGTCCCGTCCACACAGACAGAGAGGAGAGGGTGGGAGCCGGGGCTGGGGCAGGGGGTGGGGAGTCCGTGCTTCATGGTGACAGAGTCTCCATATGGGGAGATGGAACATTCTGGAGACGGAAGTTGGGGTGGCTGCAGGGCCGTGTGAGCGTGCTTCATGCCCCTGAGCTGTGCACTTAGAGACGGTTACGATCTTTTTTTTTTTAAAGACTTTATTTATTTGGAGAGAGACACAGAGGGAACACAGCACAGGGAGTGGGAGAGGGAGAAGCAGGCTTCTGGGACTTGATCGGGACTCGATCCCAGGACTCTGGGATCACGACCTAAGCCAACGGCAGACGCTTAACGACGGAGCCACCCAGGCGCCCCAAGATGGTTACGATCTTGAATTTTATGTGTATCGTACAACATTAAGAGACCAAAACTATATTTTGTGTATTGGGTATGCACGTATCCATGTTAGGAGTAAACTCAGAAGTGTCCACATATCCATTATTGTCCAGCATTCGCTCTGGGGCAGAGGCAGGAAATGAGTCAGGAAGGAGGGAAAAACCAACTGGCTAGTTTATCTTTTTAGAAAGATATGAAGTAAATGTAACAAAGCACTAACATATGTTTGTTACAATGGCAGGTACACGACTCTTATTCCTGGTAGGTGTTTGTATTTTTAATATATCTTTTTTTCCCAGATTTTATTTATTTATTTTGAAAGAGAGAGAATGAGATAGAGAAAGAGAGCATGAGAGGGGTGACAGTCAGAGGCAGAAGCAGACCCCCTGCTGAGCAGGGAGCCCGATGTGGACTCCATCCTGGGACTCCAGGATCATGACCTGAGCCAAAGGCAGTCGCTTAACCAACTGAGCCACCTAGGCGCCCTTAACTTATCTTTTTAAGTAGGCTGTACGCCAAAGTGGAGCTTGAACTCATGACCCTGAGATCACGAGTCCCACGATGTACTGACTGAGCCAGCCAGGCCCCCCAGTGTCTGTATTTTTAAAAATATATTATTTTAGGGGTGCTGGGGTGGTTCAGTCGTTAAGCATCTGCCTTCGGCTCAGGTCATGATCTCGGGGTCCTGGGATTGAGCCCCGCATCGGGCTCCGCGGGAAGCCTGCTTCTCCCTCTCCCACTCCCCCTGCTTGTGTTCCCTCTCTGTCACATAAATACAAAAATCTTTAAAAAAAAATAAAAGTATATTATTTTAAGCAGTTTGTGTCTGGCTTCCTTCATTTGACCACATCCTGTGTATTTCGCTCAGGCCCTTCATGGCTTATTTATGGAGATACCAATGGATGGATGTGTGGGTTGTTCCAAATGTTCTGCTCCTCTGTTAGTGGGCTGTGAGCACCATGGGACATCTCTGTGCACTTAGCGGGGCCAGCATTTGAGGGATAAATTCCTGGAAGTGGGCTTGCTGAGCTTCCTCCTTTGTTTGCTTCATGTCTGCTTCCCCCATCAGGGACACCCAGCTAAGCCTGTCTGTCCCCAGCGCACTGTTCTCCACATGTTTTGGGTACGTCCTTCCAGCTCCCCGGGGCCCCCAATGGGGTACCAGTCCCTGCCAACTGCTACCGATTCCCTGTGACTTGCAAAACGTTACGGAGCGGTGCGTGAGCACAGTTCCCAGGGCAGGGACACAACGCCTGCCCGACGCTGCCTGGACCACTCCCTTCCCTTCCGCCGGACCGCCCTCTCCCACCTGCAGATGGGGACTAAGGAGTTACTCTGCTCTGGCGACTGCTGGAAGTGACACGGATGCCCACGCGCTCTGCAAACTGGAAAGCGGGCGAGGTGAGAGGTGCTGTAAATGGCTGGTCTCGTGCTGTCTGCCTGTGACCTCGTTCCGCCGCGCATTCCTTTCCCTTAATTGTACGATGATGAATACACGGACTTGCCGCCGGCGGAGAGAGCGGGCGGAGCCGCGCACCGCCGCCCGACAAGAGGGCACGGGTCCTCGCGAGGTGCGGACACGCCGGGCGGACTGCCCTGGGCTGCGCGGCCGCCTGCAACGCTGACCCCAGAACCGCATCTGCAGGGGCCGGGGACACGCGGCGGGGTCGCCCCGCCAGTTCTTCCCCTGAGCCTCTCCTCTCGTCAGACGAGCTCCGCGGAGGCAGCGGGGACGCGGGCCAGGAGAGGGGTACCGCCGCCTCGCGTGACCCCGCACGGGGCGTGGCCTCTGCCCATCGTTGACCCCGCGCGCCATTTCCGACCTGAGATCAAACAAGGAAGCCCGGACGCGCCTGCGCCCCGCGGTGCCTAGCTCGGAGTGCCCGAGCGCGAGCGCGCACGCACGCTCGTACGCACGCACGCACGCACGCACGCACGCCGTTCGGCCGCGCGCTCCCCTCCGCTGGGCGGGGCCGGCGCGCGAAACTCCACTTCCTAGCGTGCACCGCGGCGACGCCGATAGCTGCGAAGGAGCAAGGCCGCCGTGCGGCGGGACCGCACGCAGGCACGCACGCAGGCACGCACTTCGGCGGGCGCACCCCTGGCCCCGCCCCCGGAGGCCCCGTGCGGGAGCGCGCCCGGGCGTGCGCAGGGCGGAGGCGCGGGCGCGGGCGCGGGGGCGCGCGGTGACCGTTGGCGCTGAGGGGAGGAGGCTGCGCGGCCGCCGCCGTTGCGCAGATCCGGGCCGCGGCTGTGGGGAGGGCGCCGGGGCCGGTGACCTTCCGGAGGCGGGAGCGAGCCAGGGGGCCCGGGACGCCGAGCGCCGCCGCCATGAACAACTCGGGCGCCGACGAGATCGGGTGAGGACGCGCCGGCCTGCGCCGCCGCCGCCCAGACGCCGCCCCGGCCCCCGTCAAGGTCACGCCGGCGGGCCGCGTTGGGACCGGCGGCCTGGGGGGCCGGGGATCCCGGCCGGGGCCCCGGGGTCGGGGGCCGGCGAGCAGGAGCCTGGGAGTCCGGCGTCCCGCCGCTTCCTGGCCGGGGCGGCTCTGGGAGGGCCCGGGGGGGGGGCGGACGCCGCCGCTTCCTGGCCAAGGGGGACCCGGCACGGGAGCCGGGCGGTGGGGAGGCGGCCAGGGCGTCCTCGCCGCCGCCGCCGCCGCCGCCGCCGCCGCCGCGCCCGAGTTTCCCCACTGTGGGATCGGGAGCGGGGCACCTGGCGGCCTGGGGCGTGTTGTCCGCCCCCGCGCCTGGATTTCTGGCTGGGGGACCTCGAGCGGAGCCCTGGGAGGGTCCGGGGGGATCCCCGCTGCTTCCTGGTCGAGGAGGACCCGGGACGGGAGCCCGGGGGCTCTGGGACGCCTTGTGTCCCTTGGCGCCTGGACTTCTGGCCGGGGGGGACCTCGAGCGGAAAGCGGAGGGTTGTGGGGCGCCCCGGACGCCTCGGTGCCGGTGTTCCGCCCGGGGCCCCCGGAGCTCCCCCAGCCCGAGCACCAACTTGGCGGGGCGGCGCACGTGGCGGCCCCGGCCCCCGCCGTGCCAGTTCTGCCGCCGCGCAACTTCTTCCACCCGGCCGTCGGGGCGGCGGCTTGCCCCGTTGCCACTCTTAACCCTTCCCGAAGTGCGAAGAACAAGAAAGGTGCGCGGACTCGGGGCCCGAGGGCCAAGGTCACGTGGGACCGGCCCCGGAGCCGGAGCCCTGAGCCCTCCGACCGTCTGCTGGGGGGCTCTGCAGCTGGAGTCCCTTCCGGCTCAGCCCCCTCGAGCCCACCAATAGACGAATTGAAAAGGAAGAAGAAAGGTACCTCCAGTGGGGGGACGGCAAAGGCTCGCTTACCCGGGCGCTCTGCTTGACCGGAGCGGAGTTTTTCTCTGTAATTATGGCCTTGTCTAATGCCGAAGGAGGCCGAGATGCGAGCGAGTGATCCCCAAGGAGCCGGAAAATCCATTTCTGCCCTAGTTGAGGGGTTTGGTCTAGTCTTCTTTGCAGAGAGCAGCTCCTACGCTATCAGCATGGTTTTACGGTTACATTTTTCTGTGCAGTTTGGGGTTGGGTTTCTGTGGCCTTGTATACGATTCTCAGTGCCCTTAGCTTTGAAGAGACTGAAGTGTTTGATTTGGTAAGTCATTGTTTGCGAGGGTAACTGGCCTCCCAGGGCCTCCAGCTGCAGGTTACTCCTGTGGACATAAAATGCCTTTTGGGGGCTCCCCCTCCCAAAACCCCACACCATAGAGAATCGGGAGGAGGACCCTGAACTCCTAGCCTGGTTTGTTTTAAAAAGCGTGTCCAGGGACTGGAAGACGGTGTGTTTTTTGTGTTACGTGGGCAAAAAGTTGCAGCACTTCTGAAGGGAAACTAGGGTATAGGGAAAAAGTGCTCCAGAAGTGGGGCAGAGCCTGACAGGAGAGAGAAGAGGCCTGCCACATCCATCCCCATAGTGCTGGCCTTCCAGAGTGCAGCCGGGAGCCGCCCAGGGCGAGGGTCTTAAGGCTTTGGGCTGCTTTTCTCTCTCAGCAGGGAGAGCAGACAAAGGTTAGGAGGGAAGGGAGCCTGGAGACCCCTGAAGTGTGCCGTGAGGATCCCTGCCTGGGTCTGCAGAGGCGGCTTGGGGACGCTGTGGAGCCAGTAGCAGGATGGGGTCAGGGACCCTGCCTGGCCACGTTCCCCTCCCCACTCCTGCAAATCCACCCGGATCGCCTGAGTTTTAAAGTTGTAAATGACAGGTGTTCCAGAAATCTTTAATTGCTTTGCAGGTAGAAATCTGTTGCTAAAAACTATTGACCAGTTTCTGTTTTACACATAGGATCCTTGTTTCTGTTCCATTTATGTGGGAGTCCAGGGTCCACTTGGATCTCCTTGCTGTGTTTGGCTGTCCTCGGACAGTGCGGGTGACTCTACCGGGCTGCCTGACGAAGGGCCCTCTTGCAGTTTCCTGTGAGCGGACCATGGTTGCCTACTCTGGGGTGGTTACCGTGTGGGAGTGAGTGTTGTGCTCAGATCCAGGTGATGGCAGATGTTAGCGGGATGTGGCGGGTCTGAATGATCTCTGATGACATGCACCTTCGTCTCTGATCTCCTTTGCTTTGGTCTTTGGTCAGCCTCGTCTGAGTGACTCCTGAGGGAGCGGGAAGGGCTGCTCCCCTTTCCCTAACAGGAACCTGCATGTATGGGTGCAGGGGCAAGGCCTCAGGAAGTGTGTGGATGCGTGGGGTGCCATCCAATGGGGGGATGTACTTCTGAGTTTGAGTCTTCCAAGGAAGAGCTTCACTGAGTCTTGGCTGTACCTGAGCTGGCTCACTGGTCCCCATGAAGTCTGGAGGGGAGAGGAAGTTGGCTGAGACCAGTGGTTTTAGTTAGTGTTTTCATCGTCCTGATTGTCACAATCAGCCAGAACAGAGGGAGGGCTGGGTCTTGAGGGCAGAGGGCTGATAGGAGCAGCGGTGTCACGTGTGGCCCCAAGTAGCAGGTGTGTGACAGGCTGATATCCTCCCTTGGGGCCAGCGACTAGGGGGACAGGCACTTACCTTGTTGCGGTGGGGGTGGGGGTAGCACTGTGTCCTCTTTCCCGTGCCATAACCTTGGAAAGTTGACTTCGAGAAGGGTCTCGATTCTGACTCTGGAACTGGCACCGGCGCAAGCCTTACAGAGTCCAGGCCCCCTGGTCTCTCGGTAGGCCTCTGAAGGCGTCGAGTCGGTGCTCACAAGTGCTGGGGAGGGGGCTGGTTCCTGTTCGGGCAGAGGTGTCTTGTCCACCGGCCTCTGGGGTGCTGGCTTGTGTTGTGGAACTGGAGAGAAGTGTGAGGAAGACTTTATGTATCGGACGCAGGGTCTGGTAAGGTAGGGCTAACTGGACACCCTCAAGGGGAGAGTCCCAGGGAAAGGAGGGACTCCGCGGAGAGAAAGTGAAGCAGCACGCGGGTCACTTTGAGAGAAGGTGCAAGGAGGCGTCAGGAGTCCACTCCCTGCGGGAGCTGGGAGCACGGAGAGCGGGTGACCCCACCTAGCCCAGCAGCCCAGCAGTCCCCGGGGTCCTGGCAGGGTGAGGCCAGAGACCTGGGCCTGGAAGTGTGGGGACTTGTTAAATGCCTGTTTTCACTGAGCACCCAGGAGGTGGGGAGGGTCCTAATGGTCTGGTTCAGAGAGGTCCTGATTGGGGAAGAGGCTGTTCCTTGCAGGGTAGAGGGTGACGGAGACCTCTGGGGGTAGAAGGTAGAGATGCTTCTCTTCTGCATTTTGGAGCAGAGTCTCTGCCCAGCAGTGCTGATATTTGGGGTGTCCTGGGCATTGTGGGGGCTGAGCAGCACCTCTGACCCCCAGCCACTCGGTGCCGGGAGCACCCCCAGTTGTGATAATCACAGATGTCCCCAGATACTGCCCAGCATTCTCTGGCAAATGAGACACCTGTTTGGGAACATCTGCTTTTTTCGGCCTGGTTCCCAGGGCGGCCCTGCCACTTGCCCCCACGGTTTAGGATTTGTTTGCTGTAGCGGGAACTAATCTGACGCCTCTAAGGTTGACCGTGGTGTTGGGAGGCGCTCTGGTTGACTTCTATTTTCAATGTTGGCAGCGGGTTGAGCATCTTTGCCAGGTGATGTGCCTGCCCTGCTTGCAGAAGCACACCCAGAGTGACTCACTGGTGATACCCTTCCTACAGCACCTGCTGGGAGCCGGGCTGGAACTTTATGCCCCAAGTCAAAGCCTTCTCTCTGTGGACAGACCGAGGCTTAGAAGGGCAGGAGACTTGCCCAAGGTCACCCCAGGAGGAGCCAGAGCTGGGAGTCCCATGCTCCTGGTGAACCAGTGCAGCCCTTGTAGGGAATGGCAGGGATCAGGGCCAGGCCCGAATGTGGACATTGCAGCACTGTCCATGAGAGGCCGGACTGTCTTCTTAGGCCGACTGTTCTCGTGCACGGTGTAAGGACAGAATTGTGAGCAGGGTCTTCAGCAGGAGGTCACTTGTTTGATTGAGGCTCTTGCCTGGTACCAGGGAGTGGTGGGGGACACTGGTCCTGTGGAGGAGTTCACAGTGGGAGGAGTTCACAGTGGGAGGCTGCGGGTGTCGTCGGGAGTTCATGCCAGGCACTGAGCATCCTGGGGTTTTTCTCTTGCATGTGTTGCTCGACCCCCACAGTAGTCTGGGAGGGGGTGATCTCACCTTGCTGGCAGGAGGTAAGCCTGAGCTGCTGAGGGCAGGGGCCTGAGCCCCAATACTTGCCTTCCAGGACTTTGCGTCTGTTGCGGTGGAAGGGCCCTGCAGTGGGGTGGCTCCCTGGCTCCTGGGCCAGTGCTGTGTTCCTCCTCCTAGAGCTGCTTCCTTCCCTGCAGGGGGATAAGGTCCCAGGGTGACCTCACTGGAGGGGCAGGAAGGTGCAAAATAGGCTCCACGTTATGTGTTCTTTAAGCAGAAAGAGCTGTTTGCTAAACAACCGTGATTGGTCCCAGGCCCTCTGCTTCTCTGCCCCACCGCTGCCTTCCTGGTGGCCGCCTCACCAGGCGAGATGGCACTTTCTCAAGCCTGCCCGCATGCTGTGAGGGGGCAGAACCTGCGGTGGTGGGCCGGGACCAGGGGAAGCCGCTGAAGGTTTGCTTTCTGGCATGAATACCATGTGGCTGCCAAGTACACAGAGCGGGAGCGGCGTGGTCCTCCAAAGCAGGTTTCCATCTCGGCAGGTGGGGGAGGGGAGAGTTAAGCAGAGCTGGGTGCCCCCCGGTGACTGCTGCAGAGCCCCTTCCGAGAGGAAGCCACCGGCACCTGCTGTGGAGGTGCAGGGCCTGGGAGCCGCCTCTCCTGGGCCCTCCTGGTAGTGGCATTGCCTGTCCCCCTCAGGAGCCTGACTCTGGGTCACCTGGCAGGGCCTGATGGTTTATGGGGTTCTATCCCCTCAGTCTGCAAGGTCCTCACCAAAGATGTAGCCGGTGCCCCGAGAGTCAGTGCGGGCCACCGGCGGGCAGCTAGCAGGGTGAGCAGCCCCTCGCTCCGGGCTGGCGTGCACACACACCTGTGGTGACTGGTGATGGTTTTGCTGCCTGGGTAGCTGTGGAGCTGGTCCTGGCTGGTCCTGCCAAAGGCCCTGTCGTCTCTGCGGCTCAGAGTTGGGGCTTTGTGCTGGGGCTCTGGAGAGGGCCTCCCAGGACCTTGGGAGCCTTTTGGCTCCTGTGTGTGGGCCGGGGAAAGTCCACCCTTGGAGTGGGAGGAGAGGAGATGGGAATGGGTAGAGCGGCTAGCCCGGTGCCCCCTGAAGGCTTGGGGCTCTCCTCCCTGAAGGTCGCACCCCATGAAGGTGTCCCCGGGTGTACAGCTCAGAGAGCCTAGGGCCAGGGGAAAGGGAGATGCTGTTTTTGTCTCAGTGGTGAAAATCTCTTGTAGCTTAGGACTTTATAGAACTTCAGACTTGCAGAACATTGCAAAATAGTAACCAGAGTCGCTAGATACTCTTTCCCCACCACACTTAGCAGTGGCTGACATCTTGTCCCATTTGTGGGTGCCCCTCCCATACGCCTTGGGCATCTCTTGCGAAGCACTGGGGAGTGAGCGGGGCCCCGTGACCCTTCATGTGGACACTTGGGTATGTGCTGTTTTCTAAGAGCAGGGATCTTCTCTGAAATCAGTGCAGCACAAGGATAAAGTGAGGGCACAGCATTGATACCTTTTTACTATCCAGTCCATAGGGCAGAGTCTGGCCTTGTCAGGTGTGTGGATGATGGTATTTCTGGTCTTTTTTCCTTAATGCCAGATTTTGAAATTTAAATGAGGGTTGGAACCTGGACTGGTCAGACGAGTTCCTTCCTCCATTAGGTGGGTGGGTGGTGGAGGATTGGGTTGCTTAGAAGGATACCTGTTTATGACCTTACTGTTTTGGTTGGATGCATGCTAGATAGAGACTGGTATTTGTCTCAGTGAATTAGGTTTTGTTTTTTGAGAATGCTTGAGATCTCTTTTTCCTGCATGAATTTGCTTTTCCACAGCAAACCTTTGTTCATTCCTGTGTGGAAGGAGTGGGCAAACACGCAGCTCCTCAGCGGTGCCAGCCAGCCTTGGGGCCTTCGGTCATCTGCCGCTCTGTGCCCCTACTGGGTGCCAGGCCCTGTGAGGGCAGGGCGGGGTAGGGCCTGAGTCACAGCTTGCTCGGGGCAGCGCCCTGGATGTCCGAGGAGGCCCCGCTCCCCTGGGATTGTTTGGAGTCAGGAGGAAACCTGGCCTGATTCTGAAAGGGGTGCGTAGGAGACACGAATTTAAGTTAACGAGGCCTAAATGGAAGCCTCCCTGTGCTGCTTGGTCAGCAAGTTCTGGGAGACTTGTCCTTACAGAGCCGTCTTCTACAGCCCATAGCACAGCCTCTGCCAGATGTGCCTGTCCCGGGCCCTCCTCAGCCCTGTCTGTAGCGTGGCGGCTTGTTTGTGGCCATTTTGGGGACGGCAGCGGGTACCTGTCACATCCTAAATTCAGAACGCCTCTCCTTAGAGAAAAGGCTGGGGTGGGAGCAAGCCCCTGACAGGCCTGCTGCCTGTTGGAGGCATTTTGCCGGGGGCTGACACGCTGGAGCTTGAGTCCCTGGATGGAGCAGGGGTGACAGGTGTGCTGGCCTCCTTGAAGGGGTCTGTCCTGGGGTGGAGGACAAGACACCCCTGTTGCTTGGGGGCAGGAGTGCCATCAGCCTTGCGGGGGTCTTTGTCTTTAAGCTGAGTGTGGTGTGGTCAGCCCCAGATAAGGGGACCACAGGACCCTAAATCTCAGACAGGGACTGAGCCTTGGCCCCGTGCTGGTGTCTGAAGCCCTTGCCAGTTAGCATCGAGGTCCCACTCTGCGTGTGACAGTGCTCAGAGCCCCTTCCCTCTGTCTGCTCTGTCATACTCACCTCCCAGGTTGTGAGAGGCCTAAATGATGTCTGAGGGGCCTGTGCATCCTGGAGATGCAAGTGAGCTTGGCCCCAGTGAGGGCTGGAATAAGCCCCACCACACGGGCCCGTCTCCGGACCTGCTCCAGTGCCTCAGTTCACTTCAGGCCTAGCCAGTCCCGGGGCAGGGCCAAGGTGGATGCTGCCCTGTGGCCTGTTAGTGTGGAGCCCCTCTCCAGGGGCAGGGGAAGTGGAAGGGCTCTGTGGGTTCTGGAGCTGCCCTAGAGGTGTCCTTTGCAGAAGAGAAGCCAGTCGGCAACAGGGGCAACAGTGGGGTTCCTCTGGAAAGTTCTAATGTGTCTGTCTGAAAGGACAGCCCAGGCTACCCTGGAGTGGGAGTTGTGGGACAGGGCTCCAGGGCTGAATCTGGAGCTCCAGGGACCTTCCCAGGGATGTGTGGGTCCTTACGACCACAGGGAAGGTACCTGAGGCTTTGTCCTAGAGCTCCCCGTCATTCTCTTTTGTTGCATGTGCTTTCAGACCTTGACTCCTAAGTCCACAGTATTTGCAGGAGCACTGGGGACGTGTGCCCCACATCCCCACCTGGAAGCCCCTGTGGTGTGGGGGCTCCCGTCAGGCCATTTTGCAAGGTCTCGCTTTCTCGCTGGTTTGCGCGGCGAGCACGTGTGGCTCTGGACGTGTGGTAACACTCACCCCCCGCCGTCTCGGCAAGTCTTGGTGTTGGTTTTCATGTCTGTAGCTGATGAGGCCGGGCGATGGTTTAGGCGGACGTGTCATTGCCATGAGCTCGACACCAGGCATCACGTCTGCACCAGCTTCCAGGGGAGTCCCAGCTGAGGGTGAGGCAGAGTGCTGGCATCTTTAAAGCAAGAACTGTCTTGACCCTAAATGTTTTTTTGTTGAATTGCAGGAAGCTCTTCGTGGGCGGTCTTGACTGGAGCACCACTCAAGGTAGGTGGTGGGGACCGGCCTGCCTGCCAGGCACCGCAGACAGGCTTGTGACCTTGGTCTTCAAGTTGTGTGAATTCATCTCTCACTAGTACCTTGGGTTTTTTATTTGTTTTCTTTAATTCTTGATTTATTTATTGTCTTGAATTCTGGGGAGGAGGGGCACTTGACTGGGTGCTGTCCCGATGTCTCAGCAGAGTTAGGGGAGGGATATGGAGGGCAGGAGACTGTTGGTGTGTGGAGTGTGGAGGTCTGGAGGCTTCCTGGCGCAGTCCCTGAGCTCAGGCTGGAGGAGGAAGCAGCTTGTGGTAGCTGGCATTCCTGGTGGTCACCTGTGTACCCTCAGACTTCACTTTTCCCAGTGCCTTTGGCTGCTGCCATTGTCAGCTGCACCCTTTCTAATTCGTGTGAAGACATAATGCGTCCGTGTTTGGAATCCCCCATCCTTTCCCATGGGCCTCCTGTCCTTGACCATCTTCCATACCCCCCAATCAGTTGCTGAGCCAGTTTACAAGTTGCTGGTTCCACACTTCCAGGTCAGGCTGAAGAACTAGGAGCATGTGTGCCTGTGTGCTTGGCACACCAGCTTAATACTCTGGTGTGTGTGTTTGTGTTTTTGTCCCAATCTCTGAGCAGAGACTCTACGCAGCTACTTTTCCCAATATGGAGAAGTTGTAGACTGTGTGATCATGAAAGATAAAACCACCAACCAGTCTCGAGGCTTTGGGTTTGTCAAATTTAAAGACCCAAACTGTGTGGGGACGGTGCTGGCCAGCAGACCACACACACTAGACGGCCGAAACGTAAGTGTCCTTCCCTGGAGTCCTCTCCCTCCAGCCCCTCCGGCCCCGTCCCATGCTGCTCCGCCAGCCTGCCTCTGCCACTGGGCCTTGGTGGGTGTGCCCGTGAAGGAGCGTTTTAGCGGGGTGCACTTAGAGGGTTGCAGTTCTGGGCTGAGGCTGGATTTGGGCTAAATTGACTGGAGGCATGGGCTTGTTTGGGAGAGTAGCTTCGTATTTCCAACTGACTCATTTGAAACTTCTACAGATCGACCCAAAGCCATGCACACCCCGAGGGATGCAGCCGGAGAGGACACGGCCCAAGGAAGGATGGGTAAGGGGCTGGGCGGGGTGGGGCGGCCTCTCTGCATGGGCCACAGCCCCAGCAGGAAGGAGATGTGTACCTTTGATCTGGTGTTTTTGCTCATTACCATTGAGAACACCAGACGTCTTCTCGTTTGCTGTTTGAGCAGCGGAGGATTCGGAGGATTGCTCAGATTTATCTAGTGGTGTACATTTTTACTTTGTAGCCAAGAATATTCTTACTATTCTGCCTTGAAAACAAGAAAAAGACCTCCCACACCTGGGATCAGGTGTTCCATTTTCTCCTCCCTGGTGGCTCCCACCCTGACTGCCGGGGGGGCGGGGGCGTGTCAGAGCACCCTCTGCCCCTGCTCCCCCACTCCTTTCTGCTTGCTGGCCGCTCCCGTCCAGGTGCTGCAGCTCACAGGCAAGGGCCCAGTTGGCCATGTCTGAGAGCTTGGTTGCTGGTTGTTGGAACAGCTGATTCAGAATCTGCCAGTGTGGTGGCTCCTCAGGGATCCTCTGTGAGCTGTGTGTGGCCCCTGATGCTTGGCCAGTTGGGGCAGACCCGTCCTCTGTGCACCATCACCCATCCCTCTCCTTCCCCAACCTAGCAAGTCTCAGAGAAGACCATCATCCAGAACGCCTTTGTCCTAGCAGAAGGGCCTGGCCAGAGCTGGCCTGGAGGCAGGGCAGATGTCTGGGCCACGGCCCGAGAACTGCATGTCTAGTAGGATCCGGCTGCTGCTGGTAGACAGGGGTGTCAGACCCTTAAAACAGTTTTTATTTTCCCCATTTTCTATTGGGAAACTTTTGGGGAACTTTACAGAAAAATCAGAAGAGTAGTACGTCAAACACCTAAACACATTGCCTAGATTCATCAACTGTTAATATTTTCCTAGTTATGTATATTTCTATCCCATCTTTTTCTGTATCTACCACTCCTAAACTCTGGAGCGTGTATCTCCTAAAAGCATGTTCTCCACGTAACACCCATCCCCACAGCGGGAGCGTTGGCCGGGGCTCCCAGCACCACCGGTGTCCAGACGGGCGCACTTGCGGCTCTGGGGTCATTTCACAGGTGGCCCTCGTAGCTCTTGTCTTCAGACTGGAATCCCAGGCACGTTCAGATTCCACTTGGTTCCTCATGTCCTTCAGTCTCTTAGCAGCTTGACTGAGATGGAGCGGGCACTTGATGGAGTTTGACCCCTAAGTGTACCTGTGAGACCCTCGCCTGCCCCCAGAGTTCAGTGGCATTGGTCCAGAGCCATTGGGACAGTGCAGCCCGAAGCCCCTGGGACAGGAAGGACGGGGTGAGGAGTGCAGTGGGGGGAGGCAGCCTCCCAGGAGCAGGAGCGGAGGTTCCGGTCCTCCTCCTCTGCCCACAAGGAATAAGCTTGGGCAAGCGTTTCCCTCTGAGGTGTGAGACTCTCCCCGCAGAGGGTGGAATCACTGGGGTCAGGTGAGGCGAGGGAGAACTTCCCATAGTCCTCCTTTGTTATCAGCTGAAAACCTGAGAAAACTGCTAGTTCTCATCGTTATGGCCACCAAACCCAAAGTCCTTCCTTTGACATCACAGAGCTATATGCTCTCTAGCTGCTGTGATTCAGGATAATTTGACACAGGACCCAGCACATGCTCTACACATGCATTTGAGTGGTGGTGCTGGACCCCTGTCGCCCCGGGTCTCTGTAGGAAATTGAAAGAAGAGTTAGGATAGTTTGCTGATTGTGTTTCTCTTTAGTGGGTTTTTTGGAGTGTTTTGGTCTGGCTTTTAGCTGGGTCTTAAAACCAATGCAGTGCACATCACATACTCACTATGGGGAGCGTTGTAAGGGTTTCCCACACGGACTAACCATTTTTTCTTTTTAAAACAGCAGAAAGGACCCAGGAGTGATAACAGTAAATCAAATAAGATATTTGTCGGTGGGATTCCTCACAATTGTGGTGAGACAGAGCTCAGGGAATACTTCAAGAAATTCGGAGTGGTGAGTTGTCCCTGCCCCAGAGCACGGTGGGTCAGGGCGGGAGTGGTGGGACCAGGTGTCCGTGGAGGTTGAGCCTGGCGGCTCTCTCCCCTGGGCCTGTGTTTCCCCCAGAGCAAGCCAGAGCCCGGGAGAGGATTTACTGCCTTTTCGGGCAAACGAAAGCTCACCCTGCCAGTCTCCTGGAAGGCCCTTGTGACTGGTTGTGAGCGCCAGGGTGTAAAGCACTAGATAGTGTTAGGGAGAAGCAGGGTTTGGCTTGGCCAAGGGAGCCAGCCTGCTGTCTCATCACGGAGGGAGTGTGCTAGGCCAGGTCCTTGAAGCAGCAGCGCAGACCCCACCGGCCTGGACCCGGAGCCACCCTGCTCCAGCAGCTCACGCTGTCCACCAGGCTGCCAGGCACTCCCTCCCTGGCCAGGGGTCGTGAGAGTTTTGGGCCTGTCACCTGCTCAGTGTTTCCTCAGTGACAGCAGATCATCTTCCAAGGCTGGTTTTGTCTCTGGAAGAGGCTGAAATTTTTTAGAATCTTTTTTTTTTTTTAAGATTTGATTTATTTATTTGACACAGACACAGCAAGAGAGGGAACGCAAGCAGGGGGAGTGGGAGAGGGGGAAGCAGGCTTCCCGCCGAGCAGGGAGCCCGATGCGGGGCTTGATCCCAGGACCCGGGGACCATGACCTGAGCTGAAGGCAGACGCCCAACTGACTGAGCCACCCAGGCGCCCCTCTTTTAGAATCTTACAGGGGTTTTAGAGTTACCTGGGCTCCTACAGGAAACTCCGTTCTAGTAGGGCAGACAGGGGCTAGCAAGCAAGCTCGTGTGGGGTACTCATGCCCCAGTCATCTGAGGCAAAGGCACGGGGTTACCCCAGGCTCCCACCTGGGCACACACCCTGTTGGTGGGACAGCCCTGTTGCCTCACTACTGCTTGTTTGTCAGGGGGGCGCCTGAGTGTGCTGAGGACCTGGGCCAGGAATGAAGAGTGCCAGAGCACATGGTGACGTGTGCTCAGTGAGCCAGGGGCCCGGGAGCGAGGGGTGTTGGCTGGGCGGACATCTGTGAGGGAGCGCCAAGCCAAGTGCTGGTCAGCTGGATGGTGTTGGACGTGCGGCCGACCGCCAGAGCTCTGGGTCCTTCTGTCCTAGCATCCGAGCCTCGGTTTTTGTCTGTGAATGGGAGGGAGCACCGTGAGGCTGGGGCCTCCGGTGTCCAGATGCCTCCCGTGAGCACTTGGGGCGAGGCAGCATGCACTTCCCCTGGCCTCCTTCGGGCCCCATGAGTCTCAGGCATCAAACCCCACAAGGCTGGCCTTTTTTGCCTCAGGACTTCCCTGAGGAATGTCTGGAGACGTTCCCAAGCTGTCTGTTTGCCTCGGGAGTTTTGTGGTAGCCAGATGTGCCCGTGGCCGCCTGTGGCACCCGGATTCTCGAGCACCCGTCTCTCTTGCAGGTCACAGAAGTGGTTATGATCTACGATGCAGAGAAGCAGAGACCTCGAGGTAAAAGACATGGAGTTTGTCCTTGACCTCCCCTTCAGATGGCAAACTATTTCACAATTAGGTGGTGGTGGTAGCGAGCATTGCCTCAGAGAAGGATGATTTGGAGACATGATTAAAACGTAGGCCCTTCCTGTGCAGCCCCAGCCTGTCTGCTTCCCAAGGTCAGACGTCACCGTGTTTTTTTGGCTCGTTCTTTTGAAGTTTTTACAACTTGACATGAATTTCAATATGGTTTCTGTTTTTAAATGTGTACTGAAAGATTGGTGCTTTTTTCAAATGGTGCACTTGTCACTCAGGGCTGCGTCCTGCTTGGAGTCTCCTGCCCGGGCAGGTCCCATTCCGTGGCATCAGGCTAGGTCTGCCCCAGCTCGGCTTGAACGTGGACTTCCCTTTACCCATCCCATGCTTTCTTCCCGTTTTTCTTGTTTCTTGTTCCCCTAAGCCCGTGGGGCAGCGGGAGGAGGGTGAGGCGCCGCCGCAGTGCACCCCCGGCAGGTCCGGGGAGCTGCCCATGCTCGCACGTCCAAATTGGTTTGTGGGGCTGGGACAGCGGACACCCGATTTCCTTGCCCTTTTTTATGATGATTATTTCTTTTTTCTTTTTTTTTTTTTTTAATTTTTTTTTTTTGTGGCTGCTGCTGTTTGTGCCTGCCCATCTGTTTTGGTTCATCCACCGCTTCTGGACCGGCTGTGCGAGCTGCCCTGGCGGTCTGGGCACCGTGCAGCCCCTGCCCCAGCCCCGTCCGAGGCCCCCCCTAGCGCACAGAGCCGGCGCCGCCGCAGCATGCGCCCGCCATGCTGGAGAATAGTTTGCCATTTGAACTTCCACCCTTCTCTTCCTCCATGATATAAGTGACGTATCCTCACTTCATGTCAATTAAGCTGTTAAGTCTTAGCTTAACTTTAACGTAGACATACGTGCTTAGTGACGTACTTAAGTGTCTCATAGTAAAGTACAGTAACGTTAAGTAAGTTGTTTTTCCTTTTCTCTCTGTGAATTGTTTGTGATTAACGATATCTCTTTAGATTTCTCTTCTCCAGGTGCTAAATTATATCACACAGGTACAGGCCAGTCCCGCAGTCAGAGGAGGGAACGGGCTTTGCTCCAGTGGGGTGTAAACGAAGTTTCAGTGTGTTTCTGTCCGCTTCCTCAGTGGTGATGTCGCCTCTTGACAGACAGATGCACCCCTAGACGCCCCGCCCCGGGGCTCCTTACCCAAGACTCACCGCCTCTTGCGCTATAACGGACCACGCGAGCCCTGTGGTTGCAGACACTCCTGCACTTGGAGAAAATGTTAACTTTTTAACATGCTGTTCATCACCCATGTTGTGTTCCACCATTTGCCTCCGGTCTTGTGAAACTTCAGGACATGGGAATCCTGAGGGCTGCTCTTAGAATCATACCCCCAGTCAGCCCCCTGAGGCCTCGCCCTGGGCCTGGGGAGCACGCCGAGCCGCCGTGGGCTGGGGGGTGCAGGCAGGAGGAGCTGGTGGGGAGAGCGCTTCGGGCTTGACCTTGGGACCCATGTTCCCGTGGGGGCTCACAGTGTCCTCCACCTCAAAGAGTCCCTGCGAGCACGAGGCCAGCAGAGGGCGGGAGCGACAGCAGGAGCCCCCGATGGGCTAGCGGGGCATCCCAGAGAGCCCATCCCGCTTTCTCCCCTTCCCAGGTCTTTTCCAGGGCTCCACCTCCCTCCTCCCTCCCCCTTCTTGGCCGATCTAAGACAGTGTCCCTGTCCCAAGGGTTCTGCATGTGTCTCACTGGGGACAATGAGGCCCTGACCTCGCCCCTCACCCTGGCCGCTGCCTTTGCTCGCCTCACACCTTCCTCTTTGGCGATTTCCCCCCCCCACCCCCGGCTCCAGCTTCTGTCTCCTGTGTCTTGCTGTCATCGTTCTGCAGCCATGTTTCTGCTCCTTCTCGCACGCCGTGTGCAGGTTCTTGTGTGAGTGTGTGCATAGTCACGCTCAGACACACGCGTGTGCGGAGACACGTCCGAAGCCTCCTGAGTGCCGGGTGTCCCTCCCCGCTAGTCTGTCATCCCCAGGTTTCTGAGCTGTCTTCTCCCCCCACCCCCTACCCCAAGGTTTTGCCTACAGTCTTCCCACGCGGCCCAGCGCCGGCAACCTCAATGTCCCTCTCCCGTCCTCTTGAGAGTGCTCGGGCTTGGCTGCTCCTTCCCGGTGCCCCCCTCCCTGCGTGCTCCGGCCCTGCGGCCCTTGGAGGCCCTGTCGGGTGCAGGCCTGACCCGGGCTCTTTGCATCGGCCGTGTCATGCTCTGTCGCTCTGTCCCCGCCCGCACCCCGTGCCCTTCTTCAGCCCGGTCTGGGCGCTCAGCCCTTCCCCTCACCCGTCTTTTGTTCTCCCGGGTCTTCCGGCAGCTGCCTGCCGCGCGCGTCCTTTTGTGCTTGGAGCAGATGGGCCCCGGGGAGACAGTGCAGTCGGCTGAGGGCCAGACATGCCACCTTAGCTGGGCAGTCACACTCACCCAGACCAACCAAACTTCGTTTATACTGCCACTTTCTTGTGTTTGGGAAATGCTAAATTTTTTTTCCCTTTAAAATTCTCTTTTTGATGACATGGTGCCTCTTGCTCTTGCTGCTGACAGCAGAGTTTGACCTGCTGGAACCCGTTGTGGCCTGTATCTTTGTGTATTTTATTTACATAGATGCGTACAGATAGATACCTGTATACCATACGTATGTTCCTTTGACAGGACTCCTTGGGCTTACCCAACGGTGTTGGATAAGCTTAGCGAGGCACTAACTGTGTAGAGACCGTACTTCTGTTTAACGCGCTAGAACAATATATGGCTGCTGTCAGCACTAGTTGCAAAGCAAATTGCAAGCCGAGGGGGAGAATCTCGGGTTTCAGAAAAGCAGCCGCGCACCCACGGCACACACCCCGACGGAGGTGGAGCTCGCGGCCCGCTGCCCTGCTTGCAGGGGTGCGCTGCGGCCCCCTCCACAGAGTGCTCTGGCACACTCTGGGCGCACGGGGCCTGCTCATGGGCCAGGCCCCCGCCTTTCTCCTGCCCAGGCTGCCCCTGTCTGTGAGGCCAGCCCCGGGGGGTTCCCACTGTGTTTCCACGTGGAACCCCGCCTCCATCACCGGCTCGGGCCCCGCCCTGCAGCCTCACATACTCCGCTTCCCTGAAACCCTTGGACGACCCCTCGGCCCGGCCCTGATACTGTTCATCATCCTGTTTTGTGTCACAACGCCCTGCTACCTTGATTCACTCTTCGTCGTTGGCTAGGTTTTGGATTTATTACTTTCGAGGACGAACAATCAGTGGACCAGGCTGTCAACATGCATTTTCACGACATCATGGGCAAAAAAGTGTGTAGTTGTAGTTTTATTTTACCTTAAGACCAAACCAAGTCTTAGGCAACTTAGGGATTTCACTGGAAACAACAATTCCTGAACAGAAAAAGGGCCGGGCGAGTCGACCTGGGGCATTGTGTTGTGTGGGCTTGGGCCTGCTCCTGCAGAAGCAAGGGGCCCTCCCTGCCTGAGGGGTTCTGCCTGTGGCGTGGCGTCTCCCGTCTCGCCAGCTCTGCTCCCGGAGCCCCTCGCTCTGGATCACTGGGGACCGGTGGGTGGGGTGGCCCCCCGGCCGAGGGGCACGGTCTGCGGGGGCCTCCTGGGCTGGCCTCCAGTGAAATTGCAGGTTGCCTCAGGCTTGGTTTCAGTGACCACTCCTTCAGATGTCTGTCCTGCATTCCAATTGCCTCCTGCCGCCCCATGATGTGTGGTGGGCAGCGGACCTTTGACCACAGGTTCCGTGTCAAACCGAAAGAGACGTAAACATCCTGAAGGATTGGTTTTTTTTACTTGGGTCACTTACTGTGAAACTCCAGTCCCCACCACATGCTCTCGGTAGTATTTAACTCCATGCAGTCAAGTGACCTCTGGTTTCATCTTCATACTGTGTTGCCGCCACGGAGACGGGCTGGCTCAGAACGTGGCCCCTGCTCCTCATTTTACTGGGGCCCCCAGAGCTCTCTAAAACGAATCACTGGTAGAAATTCTGCAGTGGGGGATCCCTGAGGGTTAGCAAGAGGCTTTGGGTCCACATTTTTGCAGGATTCTTGTCTCCGTCCTTCTGAAACTTGCTCTGCACACCCCGGCGGTCCCCGTGGGTGCCACACAGGCAGCATGTCCTTGTGCCCTTTGACATGCCCTGCCCTTGGGACCGGACCATGGCCATTTTTGTCAGTTACAATGTCGTGGAGGGACTAAGGCACCACGAGTTTGCTGCCTCCCCAGTGCTCCCACCCCAGCCCCACAGCCCGTCCCTGAAAGCTGATAAACACAGCAGTGCATGGAGCTGTTGTTACATAGAGGTGGCTGAGGTTTTGTTGCAGGCTTAATTAATTCCATTTGAACCTGACTAAGCAGCAGACACAAATCTCGCTCCGACGTTCATTGAAGCTTTTAGTTTAAAATTAGCATGCAGATTTCAAGGATGCATGCCAGTTACGAACACAAGTTCAAAGGAGTCCACGTTCAATATTTTAAGGTACTGTGACATTTAAAACTTGGAGGAAGCCTGTCCTGCTCTAGGGGCAGAAAGGCTGCTAAGCGCACGGATCTGCTCCATCTTCAGGCAGCTGGCCCCGCCCCAGTTTTGTAGGACGCATCGGTGTCTGAGTCCGGTCTGCACGGAGCACAGAGCGGAGACTGAGGTGGCTTCTCGGTGTGGGGCTCGACTTCTAAAGTAAGGTGCACACGTGTGGGAGCCCAGCTCCCGGCAGCAACCCCCGGCCTCGCCCTGTTCCCCTTGCCCGACCTTCACTGGCGGGCAGGCCACAGCAGCCCCTCGGTTCCTCGGTGGGGGTTCGCCTCCATGAGGGGCTTGGGTCCCACTTCTAATTAAAACCGTAGTGCCAGGGGCTGCGTCCGTGTTCTGAGAGGAAGACAGTAAAGAAAAAAAGTTGACAAGGGCTGCTCTGCTTTGTAAGCAGGAACCACATTCCCTTAAGGAGCGTATGTGAAGACTCATGAATTTGAGTTCTTTGAAACGGGTCCCTTGGTCCTGCTGTCACATCGCCTTGAGCTAACGGGGATTTTGTTCCTATCCGTGGAGTGTCCTTGGGGCATCAGGAAGGTGGGGTCTTTGTGCCAATGTCCCACTTCCTGTTTGTTCTCCAACAGGAAGGGGTCTTAAGGCAGAACTGATGGAATTCTGAATGCATAATGCTTAGCTCACCAGACTGTGAGACCCCAAGGATGACTCCAAGTGGATTTATTGTCTCTTCCTTCCCATTAAAATTTATCATAAAAAACAAAAAACAACTGGAGATTCCAGTGCTGAGGCAGCCCTGTAATTGGGGGATTTCGGGTTGTCACTCTGCCCGCATCTTAAAAGCTGCGTAAGGGAGGGAACCTTCTGGCAGCCACAGCGCCTGGTGCTAGTAGGGCACACACGGTCACTCCCGCTTTCCCGGCCTCTCCCAGTGCTGTGGTTCCCGACAACGTCCAAAAGAGGCAGGGTCCTGGGCTGCTGACCTAACACAGTATGAAGATTGCTTACTGATTCAAATGTCCATTTTATTGCATGTTTGTTTACTTTTTTTGTTAGATGTAATGTAAGATTCTCTTTATCACATCCATTCCCTCTGACATTATTTTGAGTTAATTGAGATTCTTTAAGCGTTAGCCTGGGGAAGGTAAGTCTTTATCTTCCATTAGACATTTTAAATAAAAAACCTAAGTAAACCAACTGTGTTTCTCAGGTATGAGCTTAAAGCGCAGGCAGGGTGGGTGGACTCTGGAAAGGTCCTGTGTGTCTGTCGGCCTGGCTCCTCCCAGCGGAGGTCCCTCCTCCACCGCGGTGCTCCGACAGCATCCGGCTCCTGCCACGCTGGGGCCCTGGAGAGGCCTGGGGAGAGGGCTGTGATTGTTCGGTCGGTCCTGGTCTCTGTGTCCCTGGGGTGACGAGGCCATTGAAGGAGAAAGCTGTCATTTCACCTTGACTGAAAGACCCTTGTCACACAAAACTCTGAGGGTTCTTGGCCTTCGGTCCGTGCTCTGCAGTGGGTAGGGCTTAACATGTCTTATGGTTGCATCTGTTGTACCTGAGAAACATGTTTTAAGCAAAAAAAGAAAAAAGAAAGAAAAAGGAAAATTATAAATTTTTAAAGAAAAAAATACTGGCCTAAATAAGGTTTATAGTTAAGTATTTAGTTTTAAGTCGTAAGATGCTAAGTGTAGTCGTAAGTTATCTGAGGGTGTGTCTGAAGGGAAGGGGGTCCAGGACCCTCGGCATCTCCCTAAACCAGAGCTTCATTTGTCTAGGTGGAAGTTAAACGGGCTGAGCCACGGGACAGCAAAAGCCAAGCGCCGGGACAACCAGGTGCCAGCCAGTGGGGCAGCCGGGTCGTGCCCAATGCCGCCAATGGCTGGGCAGGCCAGCCCCCACCCACGTGGCAGCAAGGATACGGCCCGCAAGGTAAGGCTTCAGCACCCAGAACTGATGGTGCCCCCAGATGGCCGCCTCGGGGAGGCCTGCTTGGAGGCCAGGGTCCCAAGCCTGAGGGGCGGCAGCTCCCCACAGCCGCACACGCCCTTTTCCTGCAGACTCACCGCGGAGGTGGGACGTGCTGGCTAGACAGGTGTGCAGGCCTTTGAGGCAGTACATGAAGGCAGAGGTGGGGCTCCCTCCCTGTCCAGCCCCAAGGTCAACACACACAGCTATGTGCTCATTCCAGTAGCCAGCACGTGGGCTCTGTGCTGGGTACCCGTTAGCGCCGGAACCTTCCAGCAAACCCCCAGAGGGTCGCTGTCCAGTCAGCTCACAGATGAGAAAGGGGCTAGTTTCCCTGTGCTCACCTGGTCCACCTTGAGCGTGGTGTGACCCTGGGTGGTGTGCTTGGGCCACAGCCAAGTTCCCCACCTGTGGTTTGGGCAGACGGGTCTCACTGTGGCCAGCAGAGCTGCCGCGAGCGTCCTTGCCCCACGTGCCGTGCTGTGGAGGAAGGGCCACGTAGGTCTGAGGGAGCATTCCAATGCCGCATGTGGCCCGCGGCCGTGCCGGGCATTGCCTCTAGGGGGAGGTTAGGAAGACCTGGTGGGTCGTGGGTCGTGGAGTCCGTCACTGCCGCCATTGCCCCCAGCAAGTGCTGCACCGCTGAGCTTAGAGTGGGAAGTGGGCCTGGCCGGCCTCTTGGGCCCTCTGAATCTGCTCCTGCTCCCTGGGCTCTGGGCTGTCAGGGCCTCTGTGAAGGGTCAGGAGAGTGGTTAAGGACAGCTTGGCAGAAGGGTTGAGGTTCCCAGGGGCCGCAGGACAGGATCTGGTAGCCTCCGCCTCCTTTAGAAACACAAAGAAGGGGCAGTGTCTAAGGAGGGGCCAGAGGAGGCCACGTGGGTCTGTCTGCCCCCAGACGCACCTGGCGCACTGCCCCCAAAGCTTGCAGATTGGTCTTTTTAAAAATATTTTATCACAAAACAAAACACAGCCAGGGGCACCTGGGTGGCTCAATTGGTGAAGCGTCTCCCTTCGGCTCAGGTCATGATCTCGGGGTCCTGGATCCAGCGCCGCATCGGGCTCCCTGCTCTGCGGGAAGCCTGCTTCTCCCTCGCCCACTGCCCCTCCCCCTGCTTGTGCACACGCTCACTCTTTCTCTCTCTCTCAAAAATAAATAAAATCTTTGTGCCGGGGGCGGGGGAGGGGGACAACCAGCCATAGGAGACCAGGTACTGAGACCAGAAGCTCTTGGCTGGTAACCAGCCCAGGGCTCCCACCACACAGCCTAAGGTCCCACTTGTGCATCTGAGCCCCTAGTCTGTGGGTGTCCCCTTCACCCTTTCTTTCTTTCTTTTTTTTTTTTCTTTAAAGATTTTATTTATTTATTTGAGAGAGAGAATGAGAGATCGAGAGCACGAGAGGGAAGAGGGTCAGAGGGAGAAGCGGACTGGGAGCCCGATGCGGGACTCGATCCCGGGACTCCAGGACCATGACCTGAGCCGAAGGCAGTCGCTGAACCAACTGAGCCACCCAGGCGCCCCCCCTTCACCCTTTCTGATGGGTTCTGTTAAGAGCCATCAACAGGCTTCTCTTGGGGATCCTTCCCCTGTAGAAGCAGGATGTGAGTGGCAGCCCTTTGCCCACACCCAGGCGCCTGTGTTCCTGATCCACCACGGGCTCCTCGGATGCCTTCCTTGGGCTGGGACGTCCTCCCTGTGCCCGCAGTGCAGCAGGACGCCAGGCCCCGGGAGTGTGTTTCCAGGAGGGCTTTGCCAGCAGAGCAAGTGCTCTTGGGGGTGGGTCAGCTGCCAGTCTGGGACATGGACAGGACACCAACCACTCTCTTTGTTTTCCTGTTTAGGAATGTGGGTTCCAGCAGGACAGGCAATTGGTAAGTCCTTATTTGTGGGTATCCGAGAGAGAACAGAATCTGAAATGGGGTGGGCCCCTGGGGGGCCTGGGCACTGGGAGCTGTGTGTGCCCCACCCTTTCCCCCTCACCCACCTCTGCGTCCTGTGTTTCAGGTGGCTATGGACCGCCGCCTGCAGGGAGAGGAGCTCCCCCACCGCCCCCACCGTTCACCTCTTACATCGTGTCCACCCCTCCTGGAGGGTTCCCCCCTCCTCAGGGCTTCCCACAGGGCTACGGTGCCCCCCCACAGTTCAGTAAGTCCTGTGGGCCCCTGGGGTGGGGCAGGGGGCCCATCCTGACATGCATCCTTGCACCCTGTGCCTGGCACTTGCTTGGGGCTCGTGGCTGGGGTGCTGCCTGCCCTGGTCCGTCTGCTTGTGGGGCCGTGGGGGTGGCACGCCTGTTGTGTGAGGAAAGTGTGCCCCCTCGCTGGGGCATCTGGATCTGATGGTGGGACTCAGCAGTGAGGGGCTTGAGAGCGTCAGGAGCTCTCGTCTGTGCTGGGCTCTGTGGCGCGGCACCTGGGCCTTGGGCAGCTAGCGTGCCTGCAAGGCTCCGTGCTCGCCCTTGGTAGGAAGGTGGCCTTGTGGCCTCGCCTGACGCACTGTGGCTGACTGCTGTCATCTTGAGTGCCAGGCGGCCAGCCGAGACGGTCCCACACTCTTGCTGGGAAGTGCTTGGGGGTCTGGGTGTGTTCTGTTGGAGTGCACCCCGCGCAGGTCAGGCCACAGGACAGCTGTATGGCCCCTCGCCCTGGCCTGGACCACATCTGAGTTTAGTTGTAACCAGGAGATGGGTGGATAGAAACGGGGTGTTGACCCCCAGGACAGCGTGGAAGGCTTGCCATGAGGGGAGGTTGGCGCTGTGTCTGGCAGGCGGGTTTTGTCCTTTTCAAGAGGACGCCAGTGCAGCCACTGTCTGTGGGGTCCCTGCCGAACGCTCACTGTTGGGGGTGTGACAGGCCGCCCCAGGCCCACACTAGGGACATCCCCAAGGCCTGGCCGCTCGGTGGGTTTCAGCAGGAAGTGGTGCGGCGGCTTCTGGTGGGCTGGGCTGTGGTCGCGCACTGTGTCTGTGTCTTCCTCTCCTGTTTGTGTGCAGGTTTTGGCTATGGGCCTCCACCTCCACCACCGGATCAGTTTGCCCCACCGGGGGTCCCTCCTCCACCTGCTACTCCAGGGGCAGCACCTCTGGCTTTCCCTCCACCCCCGTCTCAGGCTGCCCCGGACATGAGCAAGCCTCCAACGGCCCAGCCGGACTTCCCCTATAGTCAGTACGGTGAGTTGGAGACCTGCAGGCGTGGCCTGGGGCCCAGGACCCGGCCCCACCATCTCCTGCCTTCCTCCCCGCCAGCAGGAATGTGGTGGGAGGCCTGCTGTGCAGGGGCTTGTTGCAGAGGGTCAAGCAAAATGAAAAGCAAGATTTTGGTGTCTCGGGTTTTGGCTAGGGAGCTAGTCTTAGAAAAGCATCGATCGTGCAGCAGGTGTCCAGGCTGCGTGGGTTCGGGAACCCGAAGCTTTGACGGGGCCCCTAGGAGGATGACGCGAGGGCTTTTGGGGCACCCCTGGCAGGCCTTGTTCCTTGGTTGTTTCGTTTTCTTCCGCGTGCAGAGCGCAGGGCGGGCACCTGTGGGCCACATGGCTTCGTGGCTCTGGTTGGTGGCAGGCACGGGCTTGGGTGTTAGCATGTGCTTCACTCGAGGGGCCGGTCATGGAGGAGGTGTTTCTGAGCCTGGGGCCTACAGGGTGGCGACCTGTGGCCTGTGTGGGAGGAGCTCATGTGAGGACAGGGTTGGGCCCAGTGTCCGTGGGTCTCCCGCCGCCTCTGCTGGGCCATGCGGGTAGGGCTGCCTGTCGCCAGGGCTCCCAGGGTTCTGCTCTCTTCCCACTTCATTGTTCAGACCGTTTGGCCTAAGACCACAGTGTCTGCAAGTTGAAACTGTTCTTGCCCTCGAATGCTCCCGGCTGCCCAGCATCGTGCAGTCTTGCCCCCTTGGCGCCGTGACCGGCAGCGCCCCCCGAGTACATGGGATTTTAACCACCACCACCACCCCCCCCCCCGCCCCAGAGCACTTCCGGCTGTGTCTGGCGCCTGTGAGCAGCCCTGGGTGGGGGGGTGCTGACCGCCAGCGTGGCCCCACCCCTCTGCTGAGGCTGCCCTGGGGTAGTCACCCTGGTCTCGTCTCTTGCCAGGCCTGGGTACCTATTCTCAAGACCCATCAGGCTTCGGGCCCATACTTTGTTTACACTCTTATGGTCAGGCTGAGCAGTGATGTGGCCTAGGTAGGTGGCACCTCCTCATCCACGATCCCCACTCTGCCTGCACCCGGGCAACGGACATCGCCTCCTCTGCCGTCCTGGGCGGGGGTGGACCTGGCGGTGCCCTTGGGACGGGGCCCTTGCTGGGGCGAGGATCTCGACTGGCCACGGCTTCATGGCCCCAGGAGCTCTGCTTCTGCTGGGCAGCAGACACAGGCACCCTGTGCCTTCGTGCACCCCCTACTGGGGACCCGGGGGCCCCGGAACATGCCTTCATCCTGGGTGTGCAGTCTGGTGCCGTTCCCCTTTCCAGAAGCGCCTCCCATGCCTTTAGAGGTCAGCAGTGCAGGGTCTAGGTCCTGTTTGGAGGAGGGACCTGCCCAGCCCAGGCAGTCTCTGTGGGCATGGCGCCATGAGGCACTCACGGCCTGGCGTCGGGCATGCAGTCTTGCCCCACACCCACCGGTTCTATGGAAGCTGCCAGCTTGGGTCAGCTCTGCGGGGAGGACTGTCTCGGGTCTGGCGGGCATCCGGCGGGGGGATGCAGGGGGAGGCCTGGCGCTAGTCTAGTCTGACATTTTCTTAAATTCTGGGGGCTGTGTCTGAGTTCCCCATGCATTCCATCCAAAAACAAACTTCTAGAAGCCCTCGGGCCACCGAGCCAGGCCAGGTGCTCTCTCGTCTCCAAGCTCAAAGGTTTCCAGGGGCTCAGAGGGGCTGCTAGGGCCCAGCCCCGGGTCCTTGGGAATGGGTGGGGAGGCAAGGCCGAGGATGGATGGGACAGACCAGGGGGCTCCTTGAGGTCTCTGAGCTACTTTTCCTTCTGTGCGGAGACAGCGGTCGGGGTCCTGTGGGGGAGCAGGATGGGCTGTGTGGGCGTGGACCCCTCCTAGGCTGTCGGCGCAGAGCTGCGTTCCCGCCCCCGGCTCACTGGGCTTTTTCCCTGCAGGTTACGGACAGGACTTGGCTGGCTTTGGACAGGGCTTCTCAGACCCCAGCCAGCAGCCCCCCTCCTACGGGGGCCCCTCGGTGCCAGGCTCGGGGGGCCCCCCCGCCGGCGGCAGTGGCTTTGGACGAGGTCAGAACCACAATGTGCAGGGATTCCACCCGTACCGACGCTAGCCGGCCGGTGCCCTGCGGACGCCGGGGCGGCTGAGACCCAGGATTTAGAACTTGTGAACTCGTGACAATCACAAACTTGGCAGAAAAATAGCGACTCGACGGTGGGGGGAGGGGGGGCGAGAGGCTTTTGGAGGCGGCTGTGGGTGTCTGGACTGAAGTTTTTAAATATATTTCTTTCTCTAACCCATCAGCACAATAAAAAAAAGTCACTGGTTCAACAACAGGGTTAAAAAAAAAAATGTCTTCAGCTTTAATTCAAAACTTCAGGTTTCTTTTTCTTCCTTTTTTTTGAAATTATTTTCCTGAGCCTTTTGTTTTACCGTATATTGTAAACTTTTATGTTAAAGAAAAAAAATATACATTTACAAATTGTGAGATTTTTAAGAGAAATTTTCTACGATGTATACTGGCTTATTTTTTAATTTAAAGCAGGGTTTCCGTGGGCACTGGTGGCAGTGAGGGGCGTGTTCAGTGCCTCCCTCCTGGCTTTGAGGGTTGGGGCTCGCTGGCCCAGAAACTCCGGGAGCTTACAGAAGACGTCTACTGAGCGTGTTTTGTTTTTTGTTTATTCCTTGCTTTTGTCGACTGACCTGCCCGGCGCCGTCTGCGGGTGCGCTGTGGGGGCCGCGCCCACCCAGCCTCTGCCGGCGCCGCCCCGCGTCCGCCCTAGCAGCAGGGACAAGGAGGCCTTGTCAGCCGCTCTCCCGCGCACGTGGTTTCAGGGGTCCCCACTGACCAGTTTGACCCTGGTTTGAATAAAGAGAAGTGCGTTTGGATTAGAAACCCACGTTGTGTCCTTTTGTACCCCCCTGCTCTCGGCTGTGCGTCCCCACGGGAGGACCTGTGCTGGCCCTCGGCCTCCTCAGCGGTCTCAGGCACACGCAGTCTGCGCGACTCGGGAGCCCGGGGCCCCACCTCGGTGCGCCTAGGGTTTTGGCGTGGTGGCAGATACGGATTTTGGGACAGCCTGGGGCTCAGGGGCCTGGTGAGAGCTGCAGATCCAGTGTGAGGGGGCCCAGGTTCCAGGGCTCAGGCCGCTCGCTGGGTGCCAAGGAAAAGGTGCTTGGACAGATCTGAGCGGGGACCGGCCAGGCCTCTCCATTCCCATGGGAGTGACGCCTGGGTTGTGGCCTTGGGTAGGCCACTCACCTTTCCACAAACTAGGCTGTTGACGTGGATGGTGTGGGCGTCGGGACACCCAGCTGAGGGCCGGCAGGAGGCAGCATGGTGGCCTGAGCCCCTAGAGCTGAAGGGAGATGCCCCAGGGGCACCTGGTGGGGCCTGGCCATCCTAGCTGGGACCCCCAGCCGGGGGCAGGAGGTGGGGTGGGATGAGCTCCAGCATCCCACAGCAGCCACTCCCCTGCCTAACACACAGGGCCTGGCCGGCAAAGTGTCTGCCAGGCCTTTCCAGCCCTGGACATTGTGGATAATCCATTCCTGCCCATGTTCCTGACTGCCCCTCTCCCCGGGTAGAAGGGGCTGTGACCGTCAGTGACCACGGAGGGGAGTCCGAGCTCACTTGCACACAGGACTTCTTTGGCTCTGGCCTGGCCTCTCTGCAAGAGTGGGAGGGACTCCTGGGTCCGGGGGAGGCTGGCCCTGGGAATTAAGAACAAAGTGGGTGAATGCTCCCGTGTTGTAGTGTGTGGGGGCCTGAGGGCGGGCTGCTGTCACAAACCGCCACCAGCTTAGGGCTTAAACCGCTCACACTCATGTCCTGACAGTTCTGGGCTCAGAAGTCCTAAAACCCCGGGGCACCTGGGTGGCTCAAGTCGTTAAGCATCTGCCTTTGGCTCAGGTCATGATCCCAGAGTCCTGGGATGCTAGGCGGGAGGCCTGCTTCTCCCTCTTCCACTCCCCCTGCTTGTGTTCCTGCTCTCTCTCTCTCTCTCTCTCTCTGTTAAATAAATAAATAAAATCTTCAAAAAAAAAAAAAAAGTCCTAAAACCCCAGCACGGGCGGGGCTGGTCCCCCCGGGAGACCCGGCTCCGGCCTTTTCCTGGCCCGCGGCCCCCCTCCATCCTCACCGCCAGCAGTGCGGGGTCTGCCCATCTCTGGGACTCCCACCCTCTGCCTCCCTCTCGTGAGGATGCCGGGCCCCCCGGGAACCCAGGGTCACCCCCTCCTCGGGGGCCCTGACAAGGTCCCCTCTGCCGCGTGAGGGGACACATCCTGGTTCCCAGTCTTTGGAGGCCGTTATTACATCATTCTAAAGACCACCGTCAAGATTTTAAAAACGTAAAAAGAACAGGGATGGGCACCAGGGGGCTTAGTTGGTGAAGCGTCTGCCTTCGGCTCAGGTCATGATCCCAGGGTCCTGGGATCGAGCCCCGCATCGGGCTCCCTGCTCTGCGGGAAGCCTGCGTCTCCCTCTCCCACTCCCCCTGCTTGTGTTCCCTCTCTCGCTCTCTCTCTCTGTCAAATAAATAAATAAAAATTTTTAAAAAATGTAAAAACAGATTCATCCAAAATGCACCGGATGCCTCCAATGTACCAGCCTGAAATAAAGCAATGGACAAAACAGCCAGAAACCCCCATCCGCACCCACGGCCCAGCTCACGTTGTGGGGCAGGGAAGGTGGGTTTAGCTCAAAGGCCGAGAGAAGGGGCGCCTCCCCTGCAGTGCTCAAAATGCCCCTGTGAGGCAGCACCCCGCCACGCACCATCCCGGTTTACAGAAGGCACTTCAGGCCGGCGCCCTCCGTCCATACTGCGTGTCATCACAGTGTGAAACCTTAGCTCCTTTTTTTGGGAAATTAATTCTCTGCAAAATTAAGGTTCCCTGGCAAAAGGGCGTTATGCAAACAAGGCAGGGATTTCCAGCCGGCCAGGGGCTCCTGGGACCACACCTTGCTCTGGTGAGCCTTGGCAAGCCCCGCTGCGTCCTGAAGGACACATCCTGAGGCCCCCAAACCTGTGCTTGTGCTCCACCAGGGACAGGGAGGGACATCCCCTTCTTGGGTACAGTTTAACGGGCTCTACCCACAGGATTATGGAAATGGCTGAGGAGGCCGCGCTTCCTTCCAGACTTCCTGTTCCCTCCAGGCCAGCCCCAGCTCCCCACAAAGCCACAGGTCTAAACCAGACGCCCCCCCTCCCCCGCCCCAGCAATCTGGAGGAAGGGTCTGGAGGCTCGGGGGCTGCTGGTCCCACGGGCCCAGCACTGAGCTGGGTGGGGCAGAGGCACCTGCCCCATTCCTCCCCTCCTGCAGGGTCTTTGCATGCTTGCTCCCTCTAACGGGGACTCACCTCCCAATGCCTCTTCCGTCCCGCCGTTCAGCGTGGTTACCCATACGCTCGGGTCCCCACTGCCGTTTCACCGGTTTTCTGTATTTCTGTGTGTGTGCTTGTTTCTGTATGCTTCTGTTGATGTTTTTGCATTAAATGAGTATTTTCTAGTGTACCGTTTTAATTATTTTAATTTTTTTCATACCATATATATGTTTGGTTTTTTATTGTGACAAAACATAAAGATTTACCATCGTAACCGTCTCTAAGTGCACAGCTCAGCGGCGTGATGCCCACCCACATGGTCCTGCAGCCACCCCCACCCGCCGTCTCCAAAACTTTCCGTCTCCCCACACGGAGACTCTGTCACCACCCCCTGCCCCAGCCCCGGCTCCCACCCTCTCCTGTGTGGACGGGACTCCTCTGGGGACCTCCTGGGAGTGGGGTCCTCCTGCGGGATGTGTCTGTCCTTCTGGGTCTGGCTCCTCTCGCTGAGCCCAGTGTCCTCGGGGTCCCTCCACGTCGTGGCAGGTGTCGGGGTCCCTTCCTTCCTGAGGCTGGAGCGTGTTCCCGCGTGGGGACGGACCGCACCGTGTGTACCCCTCATCTGTGGGTGGACATTGGGGGGCTTCCCCCTTCGGACCGCGTGACCCGTGCGGCTGTGCACAGGTGCATCTATCTGTTCGAGTTCCTTGGGGCGACAGCCCTACCCCCTTGTCCCCTGTGTGCTGTCACGGTTAGACCCGCACACGTGTTACAGAAACCTATCAGTGCACGGCGGTACGTGACTTCGGGTGCTGAAGGCTGGCCGGTCCCCATCAGGGGCGCCTTCTCGGAGCATCCTGCAGAGCCCGCGTCCGGCCCGCCGGCCCCCCGGCTTTTCCTCCTCGCTCCGGACTGACCGCAGCCCCCACTGGAGCGCCAGCTCCCCTGCGGCGCCGGGCCTGAACCCGCACACCTATGCTGGAATAGGGTTGCAGGAATATGAGGTTCCGAAAGGGGCAGCGACGTGTCCCACGTCCCCCAAACACGAGGCGGCCGGCCCCAGCCCCGGGGGTCGGAGCCCGGAAGAACCGCGGCGGTTGCTTCAGTGTGCGCAGCCTGCGCTCGGCCCTCCGGCCAGCAGAGGGCGCGCTCCTCCGCCCAGAAAGCGGAAGTGCGTGCGCGCGGAAGGCCGAGGGGCGGGGCGCGCGGGGACCTCGTGATAACTGCGCAGGCGCAGGGGGGCGGTCCTTTCTGTAGAGCTGACAAGATGGTGAGTGTCGTGGGTTGGCGCGACTGTTCCCGGCGCATCCGACGCCATCCGCCGTCTGACCGCGCGTGAGGGCCTGGGTCAGGCCGCTCGGCTGCGGCAGCCTCCTCCAAGCCTCCGGGGCCGCCGCATATGGGGGCGCGGGGTGGGCCTGGTTGGAGTCGGGATGACGCGGGGCGGGGAAGGCCCGTGCCCGCCGGCACGTCCCCGCCGAGCCCCAGCAGCCCGGAGCCGCGTGTGTGTGCTCTGGCCGGAGGCGGTGTGTCCCCGTGGGCGCGGGGACCCGGGCCGGGTGAGCGCCGCGGCCGCGGCGGCTGGGGGGCCGGTCTTCGGGCCCCGCACTGACCCGCGCCCCGGCCCGCGCAGGCGGAGGTGGAGC